TTCAATAGAAATATTTCCTCTGTTAGTCTGTCGAATTAGCTATTTGACTACTGTACCAGTAGTAATATAGGTACCGTTCGACCCGGATTTTTGAGGAGTGAGGAGGAGGAGTGAGAGGAGTGAGGAGGAGTGAGGAGGAGTGATAACATCACTGATCATTAACATACGGCATAATTATATGCAATGACGTCACGCGGGCATGTTTAAACAAGGGCGTGTGAAACTTGCTGACTACGCATTTTTTAGCGTCCTCCCCACGTGTATGGTACAATTGAGGGATTAACGTTGGCTTACTATGATTGGTTGTTTGATTTAACGAGCATCTGTATAAAATCGACAAGCGTCTTCTAACAAGCATCGTCTATATTTTGAAAACGCTCTTACTAGAGGTCTTTTGGCAAGCTGCTGATATTTATCTTGGTGGTAGAATTAACGTTTATTGGTTGTTGGAAGATAAAGTTTTTTGAGGGAAAACAAATTTTTGCGCTCTTTTTCAGTCGAGATGGAGCAAGCAAAGTGGGAAGAGGTTGTTTCTTCGTGGATGAGTGGTAAATCGTTTGAATTGAAGACAGAGTGTGAGAATGAGGGTGGTTTACCTGTTGAAAAGGCGGAATGGCAAATTACAGATTTGGAAAACATTTTGATTGAAAAGGGTTTGGTACCGAAATTTATTCGTGGGGACGATGCCCTGTATGATATATTCTTGCGTCAAATGCAAGCACAATTGATTCTGAGTGTTGGTGTTCCTAAACGAGCGCGGGGCCCTACCTTTACATATTTGTCGAACTGTAAGCAGATGCTTGTGGGTGAGATATTTGCAGATATGACAAAAAGGAAGGAAAAATTCGAGAAGAAAAGCGGTGTTAGCTTGGACAACTATTACAGACTGGCTGCGAGCGAAGTCGAGAATGGAAAGAAAAGAAAAAATGTCTGAGTCGAATGGAAGCAACAAGGCCCTCGGGTGACCAACACTGGCATCGTACTATTCAGTAATCCACTACAATACAAGTACATGATTGAAGAAACAGGAGAGACATTTAATAGTTCTAAATCTAACAGTAAGGAGGCCTATGATGAATTTTGTAGATTTGGTTTAAAAAGTGATAAAATAGACCTCTTGTAATAATAATACGTTGCTAGTTAATTAATGTAAATTTGCATATATTTATTGCAATAAATACTGTGTGTCTCATTTGCTGATCAATTGTTGTGGTGAGGGTTTCCTGGATAACATAGATATAATTTTTGATGAGTTGAAACGGAATGAAATTGATATTGATAAGCAAAGCGAGTTGCATGTATTCTGTGAAGGCGACGGGTGAACGATTTAGAAGTTTTGAGGCAGGTCATAAGAAACCTTATCAAGAACTCATGGAGAAAAAACTCATAGAATAGTTTAACAAATAGTTTTAGTTGTAATATTTTTGACACTATCGTCTGTTATCTGTATCAATAAGCATGTTTTAAACTTTACAAATGTTGCGTTGTTATGCGTTGCTAAGTCATTAGGAGGTGTGTAGGTAATTAAGGGGATTAAGTCAGTACGAAATTGCATATAACTGAGTGTATCCCAATGGATAGATAGGGATTATTTATAACGCAGTTGTGTGCCTTAAAATCAGGGGCGTGGCTTTGCGGGTGCATGCATATATTAACGTACAAAATATTTGTACACTAATCAGGCTGGCGGGTCGCGGTGGAGCGTCGCGCGGGAGCGTCGCGCGTTCTTTGCAGGCGAGAAGTCCGCACAAGATTTCAGTTTTAAAATTCATTTATTTCCTCAAACGTTTTACAAAATTTAGCACGATCTACGTCTAAGAGCTTAACGCTTAGATGTTTTTGTTATCTTTATATAAAGCTACCACACGGGATCGTATTTTATTTTATTTTACTTTAATAAAACAAACACAAACACAAACAGCCATTACGAGTCAATATCCCTACGAAACCGCGTGTTTCTGAAAAGGCTTTTCAAAAGAAAAGTTCTCTTGTAAATAATGACCTCTAACGCTTCCCTGTATGTGGTCGAAGTTATCATCGTTAACAAAGACATCCCCGATTTCCATAACCTTTTTGTGTGCTGGATCCCTCTTTAGTTGTCTTATCTTGTTATTATTAACTTTATTACAAATGTGTTGAACGGGAAGTAATGGGGATATTAATTTTGTAGCGAGTGGTTCGGTGGTTTTACAGGTCTATTTTCAGAATATATAGTTTCATTGATAGAACCATAAATATTGTGGTGGTAACGTTGTCGGGTAATCCCCACAGACACAAAGATTGGGATAATAATTAATGTGATACGAATTTACATAAGCGATAGGCTCCTAATGCACATAATAATGAGACTTATATTCATAGTGATCACCTTAATTAATTTATAAGTGATAATTTTCCGAAGTTACACCGAGGATGATAAAACAACGAGAGGTTTCCGACCTAGCGCCATTTTGTTTCGTGATGAAAATTTATTCCTGTCACAAAACAAGGCGAGCTATTTTCAGAGTATCATTCTGTTTCAAGGTCACAAAACCCGATCACTTTAAATCACTTTAAAAACTAAAGTGAAGTAAGCCATAATTTCACTTAGAACGTCTAACATTTATATCTACTCTCAAGGATGTTGAGGGTGCGCTAATTAATACTCGTACAAATGAGGGTGCGTAGTGACGTCACTCATTAGCATACGGCATAATTATATGCAATGACGTCACGCGGGCGAGCTTAAACACGATCGGGCGAAACTTGCTGACTACGCATTTTTTAGCGTTCCCCCACGTGTGTGATACAATAGGGGGCTTATTATTGGCTTGCTCTGAATAGCTCGAGTCCCTCACAAGGCAAAATTGTTATCGAAATTAATATATAGCAGTTATAGCCGTATCTTAGCTAAGAATAGATAAATTTCCACGAGTATATTGAAGGACTTTTCGTATGTTCCATATCGAGGAATCTATTTGTCACAAAAATCAAGACATATTTTAAACTAAACAGTTGCTAATCCCGGGTTGTCAACGTCGTTGTTAAGGTCAATATTTGCATGTTGTTCAACATTATTTAGCAATCCTCCTACATACATATATACTGTTAAGATGATCATAAGAAAGCTTATCAAGAGTAGAAGTTAGAATTAGAAAGAATTAGAATTAGTAATATTTTTTGACACTATCATCTGTTATTTGTATCAATAAACATGTTTTAAGCTTTGCAAATTTGCGTTGTTTATGCGTTGCTAAGTCATTAGGAGGCGTGTAGGTAATTAAGGGGATTAAGGTAATACGAATTTGCATAACTAAGTGTATCCCGATGGATAGATAAGGATTATTTTTAACGCAGGTGTATATCTTAAAATCAGGCGCGTGGCTTTGCGGGTACATGTATATATTAAAGTACAACATATTTGTACACGGATCTTTTCGCGCGGGCGGAAAGAGCAGGCTTTGCCGGCAAAAAATTACACAATATTTCAGTTTTTAAACACATTTACTTCTTCAAAATGTTTTACAAAATTTAGTAAGGTCTACTTCTAAGAGCGTAACGTCTAGGTGTTTTTGTTATTTTTAAAGAGTTCTCATATTCTTGTCTATCTTCTGGGGATAACTTTGCAAGTTTTTCCGGCTTCATTGGAATATATTTCGGTCTATCGCTCAATATAAAACATTCATAATCCTCTCTTGCTTCCGGAGTCATTCGCGCTAGCTCACGTTCGGTCCAATCTGCTGGGTCTTTTATTTGTCCATTTTTGGTGTGAACTCCAATCCACTCGCCTTGCTGTTAGACGTACCATACGAACATAGCTCGCAGAAACCAATGACATGCGAAAACAGTAGAGGTGACTGTTCATCACATATCATACATTGAGCGTCTTTGCCCCAGTAGAAATCTTTCCACGAACATCTTGGGCACTTCATTAAGTATACAATGTGACCAGTCTCTTCTCCACAATGGTTACAAGCTAGTCTCTCGGGCTCACCATCATCCTCATTATCATCACCCTCATTATCATCATATTCGCTTTCATTATCACTCTTGTCAGATTCCCTGTTCTCTTCACCAGATTCGCTTTCAACATCACTCTCAGATTGTGGCATTTCATGTTCCTCCTTTGCCATTTTTGACAATAAATACTCGTTTTTAATTAAATCTTTATTAACCCCTGCTTCTACTAGTCCTTTTGTAAACAGGTCGAGCCCTCGTGGTTCAGGAATGTGAGAGTTGTATGGTAAAAGTGCGTATTGTAAAAAGTTCTCGATGTTAGTACCAGGAATGTCTCTTCCATGATAAGCAATCTCACCCTGAGGATTCCAAGTTAAAATATCACTTGATATAAGAATAGAATGTAGAATTTTTTCTGCTGTAGCTTTTTTGACATTTTTGTTGAGATACAAAAGTATATCTTCAATGCGCCAATGTCGCGGAGATGTTTTACTCTCGATGTTCATTGTTGAAATGATGTATAAATTGTAATCACAGAGCTTTTATACAAGTTCAGCCAGGCTTTCCAAAATAGGACTCAGTAATAGTCCAAGGAAACCTTCACCACGTTGAACGAGTATCCGTTTTTTTCTTCTTCCACATTTTCCTCTATCTGCCAACCTAAGCATTCCATTTTTGTAAGGTCGGAGTTTCTTCATCACATGCTTCGGCATTAAATATTTTCTTTCCATAACGTTTTCTACACAAAGACACAGGCAGTGTACTTGTTCGGCGCTTGCTGTTTCCAGTAGTGCTTGTTGTTGATCAGGCTCGGACGTGCCCAACAATTCAAGATATGGCTTGTGCCTTAGAAGATTGATCATTTCTGTTCAACGGTTTGGAAGCAAATGAGTAAAACACAACAATAAGGAAGCTTATATCGGAAGAGAGAAAGCAATTTATACAAGGCTCCGAGTTATCGAGAGTTCGATTCTGAGCTTATCGAACTTAGCTCCTTGTGCATGTCAGATAAGGAAGATAAGAGGATAAATATAAGGAAGATAAGGATAAGGAATATAAGAAGATAAAGATAAGAAGATAAAGATAAGGATAAAGAAGGTAAAGATAAGGAACATAAAGATAAGAATAAGGAACATAAAGATAAAGATAAGGATAAAGATAAGAAGATAAGGATAAAGATAAGGAAGATAAAGATAAGGATAAAGATAAGGATAAAGATAAGAGGATAAAGATAAGAGGATAAAGATAAAGATAAGGAAGATAAGAAAGATAAAGATAAGGAAGATAAAGATAAGGATAAGGAACACAAAGATTAAGATAAGGATAAAGATAAGGAAGATAAAGATAAGGATGATAAAGATAAGGATAAAGATAAGATAAGAAGATAAAGATAAAGATGAGGAAGATAAAGATAAGGATAAAGATAAGGATAAGGATAAGGATAAGGAAGATAAAGATAAGGATAAAGATAAAGATTAAGATAAAGATAAGGAAGATAAAGATAAGAGGATAAAGATAAGGATGAGGAAGTAGGCTGGATCAATATACCGGATATATCCGATATTTGTTTAGATACCGGTTTGGCGATATTGACAATTTAAAAATACCGATATACCGACATTTCGGTATTTTGCTGCCTAATACCGAAATGAAACGCCATTTCAAGTCAAACTTGCTTACAATCACGTTTAGAAAGCAAAGTTAATACTTACAGATGCATGATTTTGTTTTTACAGTTCTAGCAGCTTTGGTTTAGCAATACCAGACGTCTTGATTATTAAATCGCCTTAATCGGAAATATAAAAAGGGTGAAATTTTTAAAGGAAAATTTCGACAAAAAAGAAAACTTTGATTTTGGAAAGTGGAAGTACTAGCATTTGCGAAGCAGCGAAAACCTTTTCTGGCTTTTCAAGTTGTTTTTTTATCGGGCAGTATAAGAGGGTAACTTTTTGTTGTTTTCAATCTTATTTAACTGACATGCTAACTTGTTTATGTGTTAGTTTTAAAAATGCAACATTTTTTATGTTCATAACTATTAGCAACTTACTGAAACACTATCTGAATTTATATAGAAAACGAATATTTTTCTGAATGATTCAACACTTCGACGCCCAATCGACGGCCTACTAATAATTGCCGCTTAGCGCTGTTAATTGTTAACATCGCTTGATAATGCGAATCTTGTGACATTTGCACTAATAACAGTATGTGCCACATTAATATTTTGTCAAAACTTGATTTTTCTTGACGGTCAGCACTTCAGTTTGGCTTAAAAAAAAACACGTTAAAAATACCGGAATACCGGTATTTACCGGTATTCTGATGGCGGTATATCGGTATTCGGTATTTGCGATATCGATCCAGCCTATGAGGAAGATAATGATAAGAATAAAGATAAAGAAGATAAAGATAAGGAAGATAAAGATAAGGATAAAGAAGATAAAGATAAGGAAGATAAAGATAAGGATAAAAATAAAGATTAAGATAAAGATAAGGAAGATAAAGATAAGAGGATAAAGATAAAGATAAGGATAAGGAAGATAATGATAAGAATAAAGATAAAGAAGATAAAGATAAGGATAAAGAAGATAAAGATAAGGAAGATAAAGATAAGGAAGATAAAGATAAGGATAAAGATAAGGAAGATAAAGATAAGGATAAAGATAAAGAAGATAAAGATAAAGAAAATAAAGATAAAGATAAGGATAAAGATAAGGAAGATAAAGACACAGAATAATACTGGATAGATGCATTAATGATTATATAGAACGAATACGCCAACTTATTATCACTTCCAGCTAGACGTTCGTGGTGTGAACATGTCCTTTCCGTGCAATATATGTGCCAAAGTATTTTCAACACGCGGCAACCTCAAGCGTCATACTTTGAATACCCATGGAGATGTTCAAAGCAAACCAGTTGAAATCTCAGCAGGACCTACAGTTTTGCAGCATCCTTTCACATGTATCGTAGCTCGGTGTACCCAAAGCGGCAAGACTGTGTGGGTAAAATCTCTCTTGGAGAATGCACAGAAAACTATAAGTTCTACTCCTCAACGTATCATTTGGTGTTATGGTCAATGGCAACCCTCCTATTTTGATATGATGAGAACGATGCCTGGAATCGAGTTTAATCAAGGCATCCCCGAAGACATCGACAACGCAGATTACTTGGACGTATCGCAACGGAATTTGATCGTATTGGACGACCTTATGGCTCAATCTGGCAAAGATAAACGTATTTCTGATCTTTTTACGAAAGGAAGTCATCATAGGAATTTATCTATCATCTATATTGTTCAAAATATATTTCATCAAGGCAAAGAAATGAGAAATATCAGCCTAAACGC